TTTCATCTCAAAGCAAGAAAACGTTTATATTTTCACTCATGCTACGCATTCCTGAAAATATAAGTTTTCTTGCTTCTCGATGAAATAAAATATGTTATTCACTCTACAACGACAAATATCCTCTATATATTCTTGTGCAGTAGTGTAAAATGGATAATTTCATAGTATTATGGGGCCTATAAAGGCTGTCAAAACATTACATGACACCCAGAGCAATATGCAAAGTATTCATTCTAAAGTTGTTTTTGGTTTATACTTGTTTGTAAAAAGAGAAACCAATCAACTCAAATAATGTTTATTGAAAAATGTTATAGGCCTATTTCAAATAGAATTTTAATATCATTAATTATTTTGTTTTTTTAAAAAATGAAAGCCTACATCAATTAATAGAACAAAAATCATAAAAGCACACAGTGAGTCAACGTTGGAGCCAAAGGTATTTTATCTTGGAAAACAACCAACGGCTCAAATCTGTTTATTGGAAAACGTTATATGCCTATTTGAAATTCGATTTTAATATTCTTAAATTATTTTTTTTATATTTTAATGAAAGCTTACTTTATTAACATAACATAAATAAGAAAATCACACAGACTTAAGCTCTAGAAGACAAAGGTAAATCATGTTGTGATTTTGAGTAAAATAGGTCTTATCAAAAAAAGGGCGTGTCACTTTGACATTTTCAAATGGTCCATTTTAAGGTGTATGGAAATTACATTTCAAATCTAGGAATCGAAACAACAAGTATTTGGTGGATTAGTTTTAAAGTTAATAAAAACTTTTTAAAATCCACAATAATTTACAGCCTTATAGACCAATTCATAAACCATCACAAATGCTGTCTCTCACTTCATTAAAAATTCTGGGCTGTACCACGCTTTATCTATGCATGTTTTAAAAATATGAATCATGTTTTATAAATTCCCGAAAAACACACACAACTAACGTATGATTGTATGTGATAATTCTCGGTAGTTTTGTTACCGAAAATACTATAAAACTACAAAATTAAAGATATTTATTTCATCGATATAGATATCGTAACGTCGTTGAGCAAACTGTCAGTGTGTGTTTATTACAGACAATTCCTAAGATGCATTGCACGTCGCTGTGTTTCTATGGGCCGTAATGCTAGTCGCCACTCTGTGTATTTTTACTCTGTGATAGGCAACACATACACACACAAAGACAGGGGCGACGGCAATATACGTCCACATTATGAATGTGGACTATAAAAACTCAATAGGATTCTTCACTTTAATGCAATAGACAACCCTGTCAATTTCAAAATGACATAGATTATTGAAGCCTATATTGTGCTAACACGAAAAGTGAATGACAGATGGACAGGTAATGGTAATGACAATGTATGACCACACTAAAAAAATGTGGGCATATAGAAACCATATTTGAAATTTTTTAAAGAAAAATGTATTGGTTTATCAAATTAACGCTTAGGTGGTTCTGGTTCTGTTAATTCAGCTGAGAAAAATGATTGCCCATTGGTTTTAGACTTATAGAGTAGGACTGTAGTCAATGTAGAGTATGGTATACTATAAGATAAGTAATTACTTCTTAGGGAAAAATTCACCCCCACCAAAAATATGGTATGTGTACATCAAAGCTTTCATTTCATTGACTAATATTCCAATTGCCTAACTATGAAAGTAATCATATTTTACATTGTTTAAAGATACATTATGTAAAGATAGGTTGCCAGGCAACGAAACATACGCCCACAGCAGCTATATCGTCCGGGCAGTCAACAAGAGTTGTCGCATATTTTTACTTTTTTCTGTAATGAAACATTTATAATACATTAAAATCTGATTAAGAGTAACAACTCATTAAGTAATTATCATAAAACCATTAGAATTTGTTCGGTTTTTATAAAGTTCTGCCCCATGCTATCGTTTAGTATACGAAACTTTTAACATCATGGATTTAGCTGTTCAAGCCATAAAGATTCATTGAAAATCAATATACTTGTTCGTCTCAAGACCTTAAACACTGTGTATAAATTTAAAATCAATCGGATATTAACTTTAGCCTCTAGAGCTTCCTCAAGATTTTTGGCAAAAATTATCAGAAATCGCTGAAAATCAATAGGATTCTTCATCTCGTGACCTTAAACACTGTGCATAAATTTAAAGTCAATCGGATATTAACTTTAACCTCTAGAGAGTCCACAAGATTTTTTGAAGTGATCAAGGGCCATAACTCTGGCAGTAATTATCGAAAATAGCTGAAAATGAATAGACTTCTTCATCTCATGACCTCAAACACTGTGTATAAATTTAAAGTCAATTGGATATTAACTTTAGCCTCTAGAGCGTCCACAAGATTTTTTGAAGTGATCAAGGGCCATAACTCTGGCAGTAAATATCGGAAATCGCTGAAAATCAATAGGCTTTTTCGTCTCATGGCCTTAAACACTGTATATAAATTTACGGACCGACGGACGGACGGGGGCGACGACAATATACGACCACATTTTAATGTGAGCGTATAAAAATGAAATGAAATGGGCTAGTGAAGACGAGCAAACACCATACAGTGTGCTATGAGGGAAATTTTGCCTGGACAGCGGCACTACGGCCTACTCTTATATCGAATTCCAACTGTCAAGGGATCTTTTACGTGCATGCCAATGTGTACACGGGACCTCGGTTTTTTCGTCCCATTCTGAGTGAAGATATTAGCATTTGAAGGATGTGCAAGGAAACTTTTCCGTACGTGTAGCTAATGGTTACTATATGCACTTTACGGCAAGTTAATTTTCAATCTGATTGAAATTAATTCAGCTATCCCGTAAACACTGTGTATAAATTTAAAGTCAATCGGATATTAACTTTAGCCTCTAGAGCGTCCACAAGATATTTTGAAGTGATCAAGGGCCATAACTCTGGCAGTAATTATCGGAAATTACTGAAAATCAATAGGCTTCTTCGTCTCATGACCTTAAACACTGTGTATAAATTTAATGTATCTACGGTATGATACAGCATTTTAAATTCAATCTAAAATATTCCAATCACAAATGTCTTAAAATATAACAACGCAAGACGATAATTCGGTGATTATGATTGATCCAGTCACATGTTAATTGAACCGACAAATACACACTTGTAATTGAATATTTGAAAACCTTTTTGGGCTTTCGGATCTATAAACCTTAATAGCTGAATTAATTTTAATCAGATTGGTTTGATCTTTGCCGTAAAATGGATATATAGTAACCATTGGCTATAAGTACACACAATTAAGATTTTTCACCTTATGTGATCTTGAAATAAATTAAATAATATGTATACTGAACTTGCAGTGTGTGGCTACAATAAAATGTGCTGGCAATATGCCAAATATTGTTGTCAAGCATCTTACTTTAACAGTGGAATATCAAGTTTATTTATATTGATAATAAAAATGTTAATATTAATACCAGAATACAACAATATAAGACTAATTCATATTTTTATAAAGCTGCATACAAAATATCACCGAATGCCCAAAAAAATTTGACAAAAATTGTAAAATTTCTGGGTTTTGATTTTTTAAAAAAAAAAGGTCCATGACCCTACTCAATTTAACACTTAAAAGCTTAAACATACATTATGCAAGATCTAAATCTGCCTATTGCAGGTTTTTCTTTAGGACTGAAATGTTGTCTAAATTATTAATAAGACATTAATTAACGTATCCGGACCATAATTCAATCACGATGTCATCGCTAGCCTACAATATTTAGCGGACTGGAATACATTTTTTAAAAAATAATTAAATGTTCAAATGGATAATCAAGACTTTATTTATATTGTACTGACTTAAGTAATGATGATCGAGGCTAGGCCTAAAATTCAATCGCTAATATCTCGGTTCAAAGTGGAGCAATTTGACTGAAAGTTTTAGCATATTATATTTACGTTAACTATTTTGAACTATTATAGTGAGAACTGCCAACTCTTTATCTAATCTCCCATAATACTCCTTTAAATGGACACTCCCAAATATAATTCAGTGAAAAAAACTGGTTGTATCTGAAGCCATTCGATACCTTTTATCTGTGATTTAAGTTAGACCTAAGTTTTCAAATTTGATGCTATGTATGTTTCAGATTAACCATGTATATAATGATCACCAAGTCATTCATACACTTATTGTTGAACATACGCATTTTAATTGAGCAATTCTAACAGTTTAACCTTGCAAACATTGTTCATTCCTTATCTCTCTATAAAGTCACTTTGTGTAAATAAACATTATTTTTAAAATAGATTTGGGGAATATGGAGGTATGTAAGATTTAATAAGTTTATGTCATATAAATATACCATTTGCCAATTCCATGCGAAGACCTGACATGGTTCGTTATTATAAATCAACAGCAATCGTTCTATTTTGAAAACAAATAAAATACAAAGATCCATTTTAAAACATCTAAAACTGATATTTTATAAACTGATCTATGAAATAAAAAAACATCATAAATTTATCAAATGAATACTGGTTGAACTCACTTAATATTTTATGAAGTTGTGCTCTATTAAATATATAGATTAGAAGATAAAACAATCCATCTCATTCACATTCCAATACATGCTAAGTGTGTTAAAACTAGTTTTATCTTATTCACATTTTTAAAACAATATATAAACCAACAAATCATCAAGTTTTGACAAGATTTCATAAGAAATATTCAAACTCAGTTTGGAATTTGTAAATATCAGTTACTGATTGTTTGCTGACAGTGACATGCTATTATGCCATGAATATGTTTACATGTCAACATAGTCAAGACTTGGACATTAAACTATTCTGTCAAAAAGTCATTTAAGGTGCATAACCAACCAAATATAAACAGTAGCCTGGCAAATATTTCATTATTGGGATTGGTCAGTGATGAAAGATATCCATTGATTAGTAAATTTGATTAATAAAGTTTATTTGAACCACATAAAGATTTCTACTCTCACTTTAAACTAGTGACTAATTATTACTTACTCTAATTGTGTCTTGTTTACGACAACAGGAGTAAGGTGTGGCACAACTCAATTTACTTAAATTTGTTGTTGTGCAATTAAAATACATATTCTGATTCCAGTCTTTATAACCATTGGATGTTACACCACAACAGTGAATCTAAAATAAAAAATCGTAATTAAAATAAATCATACAGGTCACAATTCTATGGAATACAATTACTCCTTATTACTGAGCGATGTTTCGACTAGGCCAGAGTAGAAGACATTGTTAAATAATATTTTGAAATGTTTTTAAGAATACTATCAACTTTTTAGAACCATTTAACAACTTTTATAGGTTTACATGTTGTCATACTCATAGTCATGTCAGTTGTCAGTTCCTAGAAGTATTTTTTGATCAGAAAAAAACTCTTCTTTCTTACATTTTCTTGAATCCAGTCAATAAAACTTTTAGCATCTGGATCATCTTCATAACGGGGTATAAAATTTTCTTGAAATGTATCCGTTATAGTCTGTTTAGCTTTGTCACGGAAAACAAAGGCAATAACACCTAATGTGATCTCAGCCACAAATATTAAAATCATGACAATATAAAACTGAAAATAAAATTACATTTTGTTAGAAGTACTATAAAACATATTCCAAAATAATTGACCTTTGATAACTTTTAATGACAAGTGTGCCAGAAGAGAGATCATCTGGGCCTTTTTTATTGGTGGATACACTGTAGAAATATTGCTAGAATTTTTGCTCTTATAATTAATGGTGGTATTATATTTCATTAATTAAACATACATTATGCAAGAGCTAAATCTGCCTATTTCAGGTCTTTCTTTAGGTCTGAAATCTTATCCACATTATTTATTAGACATTAATTAACCTATCCAGGCCATAATCAGCCTGCGATCTTTAGTGGATTGTAAGCCGATTTACTGCATAACTTTCCTTCCCGATTAAACGATTAAATGGATAATCGAGACTATGCTGTTTATCGTACTGACTTTAGTAATGATGACCGAGGCTTATGGGAATTTCAGTCACTTAGTTCTCGGTTCATAGTGGATCAATTTGAATGAAATTTTCACCAAATTGCCTTTACATTATCTAGTTTTTAACTATTATAGTGAGAACTGCCAACTCGTTACCGAATCTCCCATAATGTATCTTTAATGTCTTTGGCCAATTGTACTTAATATGCACTAAAAATATTAAGTGACAGATTGACACATAAAAAGAGTTATAGAACCAAAACATAGCTGGTTCTATTATGTGTCAACAAAATACATGTGATTGGAAATTTATTAATTGCATCATTTGGCTTAAAGTAACCAATCATATCAGTAACTGCACAGGTTCAAGGTCATGATCAGGCTATTCTGTGTGTAATGTCCATATGTCCCATAAAAGAAATCATGGCAAACTTTTAAGGCAGATGTCATTGCATACCGGAGAGATTACCATCTGAGTTCCTAGACAGCAGCTTGATTCCAGAAGGGAAAAGATGTAGCAATTTCTATCAGCAGACTCGTCCAGTGAGTCTGGCTAGATGAGGTTTGAGAGAATGACTTTATTCTATTATGCATTGTACTATATGTCAGCAGCTATGATATATAAAATGTAAAAACGAACTGTTGCATTGTTATTCCTGGTAAAATAAACGTCTTAAGAAAACAGTAAGAAGAAAATACACAATGTGAAGGGGAAGCAAAGACAACCAGAGACAAATACTAGACGATCACAAGGCTACTAAAATATATAGTAAGAAAAGATGCATGGGTCGTACAATGTGAAGGGGAAGCAAAGACAACCAGAGACAAATACTAGACGATCACAAGGCTACTAAAATATATAGTAAAAAAAGATGCATGGGTCGTACATAGGATGTGGCGACCGGTTTGACAACGTCCGCTCTCCACGTCTGATGAAAGACCCATGGTGCTACAACACTCCTTCTGCATGCTTTTTAGAATGATAATTTCTTAGGACAGTAACATTACAGGATTCTATGCTACTAAACAATGTCAGCCTCCCTCCAGTATTTGGAACTACATGTAAATTTGTCACAGAGCATGCAATTGTTACCACAGTGAATAATTGTGACAACCCTGAAAAACTAAAAGGTTTTTCTTTACAGATCAAAATCTATTTTGCATTATGCTTTTCATCATCCTAGAAATGGGTGAAAACTGTCATTCAAGAAAAACGGCCCAAACTTTCTGACCATTCCCTGCCAACATCATCTATGAAAAAACAAGCCAACAGTGAGGCCGATGTCCCCTGCCAAAATCCCAAAATAAATAGATGACACATAATATTATGTATATTGGTATATGTATTATGGTATACGTTCTAATATGCTAAGTTCTATTATGCATTTGTCTATTATGCAAAATGCAGAATGGAGAAATGTAATGTGCAAAATAACTATTATACTGTATTTTGTGTTATTGAAAAGAGTACTCTGTATTTTAACATTGTGGCAATGGTATTGTCGATCAATGAAAATTGCAAATTGTAAAACTAAAATATATATTTTGAACTGCTGACATATGCATTTTGCGCCATGAACATATGGAAAATCTTTATTCAATCACTTTAGGAGTAATGTTCAGTCTTCGGTCCCTGCTGATGGTTATCATACTAAAATTCCAGATTCGGATAAAAATCCAATGCCTTCTACTTGTCGACAGGAAAGACTTCCCTGTGCCCTCGCTTCCGATCCCTTGATGTCAGATGTTAATTCTCAGCAAGCACCAGGTTCTAAGCCAGGTTGTGATGACAGGTATTGTACCAATTCTCTATCAGTGCCACATGTTCGCGCCAATACTTTCATAGACAGGGTGAAGAGTTGCCGTCGTGAAATGTCCACATCTTCTTCGTCATCTGAGGTGGTAACTAAGACCACTTTGGATGATGACTTGTCTTCCCATGACGAGGAAAATCACAATCGGAAAAGGGGTCTCAGCTCAGGCTCACCAGAGATGGTCAGGTTTTCGGGGGATGATACATTCAGTTGGCTAGTGTTTCATACCCAATTTGAACGTTTGGCGCACCGACAACATTGGAGCGAGAGAAAGAAGTTTTCTCGTATGGTGGATTATCTGCACGGTAGCACCCTGAGATACAACACCAAAATAGGTATCCCTCCCCAGCATTCATCACTGGTCAGGGAGCTGCGTCGTCGCTTTAACCAAACAGAAGCCCCTGATGTCTCTAGGAAGGAACTCTGAGAATCAGATTGCAACAGAAGCCTTTCTGTGTGGTTGTAGAGAAAAGGAAGTGACTCGTCTGGCAATGGAGAAGTCCTCGTCCACCTTGCATCGAACTGTCACCTACATGAAAGGTTCTCTGGCTAATTCAAAGGCAATATTTGGAGTCAAACCTATTCCCATGCAACAGCGTCAAGTTTCCTTTCAGATGAAGACAGTACCAACCTCTGAAGTTTGTGGTGTTGCTGACAGGCCAACAATGTTCGATATCCAAAAGAGTATTCTGCGTTTCGACATGCAGTTCTATCAACAAAATACATGTACACCCCTACATCTCTTTTCCAGATTCAGCTTATCAGTGCCCAATCGGGGGTATCACAATCCAGGCGATTGTAGCCAGTCTCCCTCTCCCAACACTTATATCCATCCATCTCAGGTCACCATCTTGTTCACGTCCCCACTCTCCTTCATGTAAGCTGCTTTGAGTTCTTAGGGTTCACCAGGTGGTGCCGCCGCGGGTCAACACGCACAGTGGCAATCAATTTCTATGGACAGAAACAATCCTTTAAACTTCAGTCGACTGGCTGTGAGGGTGTTCAACCAGTCTTAAGAACAGAAAGCCCAATTGACGATTACAGAGTTCTTCCTGTTCGAAGGGATCCGTTTGGGGTAAGGTTAATTCTACTAGTCTAGTTTCTTTGGAAGCAAATTGATACAATGATTAATATCGGTGCTATGGTTTTCTTGGTTTCAACTTCCTTTTTGAATGGGGTGGAGGAGGTGGAACTAGGCAAAGCAGTTCGACTAAAAGGGATCGGTTGTAAGCCGATCTCTGGTTATTGGCTATCTGGTGTTACTATATTCATCGAAGGCTCTTTCTTGGAAAAGAATAAATGCATGGCGAACCCGTGGAATTATGTCCTTTCGGTTGGGGAAGCGATTCTTATTTGCATACCCTCTTCTGAAGCAAAGATTTCAAAGAAAACCTGTACTAGTGCTGTAAACGACTTTAACTGCTTTATTTGTTTACAACAAGGTTCAAATCTTGCTAATTCCGAGTTTATTAAACATGTGATGGCTCCAGATTCTGCTACCAAATTTGATGTCCATATGAGACAAATTTGGTGTTACAAATATTGAGACGTCTCATGCCGATTTGAGTTCTGCACCAGTGACAGTACACAAGAAGTCTGTAACGGTTCGATGGAGTATCAACGTTCCCATGGTGTTGGATGGGACGGAGATGACTGGTCTTTACATGTACATGGTCCCCAGTTATACCAATAATGGAATAAGCAACAGTGAATGGAAAAAATCTCCCGCTAACCTTCGAGGGCAAATCCCTCAGATTCAGAGTTAAAACTGTACTCGTCAGCAGAATGGTCTTTGGGGCTGAGTCCACCAAACATTACCAAACCCTTCATGTATCTTGTTATTGCTGCATTGGTGTTAGAAGATGACAGACTTGCAGTTGATGAATCAGTTCGAGCTAGCCTGGTTAATTGACTGGGCAAGCATGGCATGTTTTCAATCCGGATGGAGAGTCTGATACGACTATCTGTAATCTCCACCAGGAGTTTAGATGATTTTACTGTGTAGATAGATAGTGTTCAGTTTTATTGGAGGTTTTACCCTGTAGCTAGCATTTAGTTTTAATGGAGATTTTACCCTGTACATACTGCTCATGGAATATCTGTACATACTGATTTTAACAAGATGTTTGGTCCCTGTATGATCTTCCCTGAAGTGTTGTAAGATTTCCCTTGTACCCTTATCCGTGACCAAGTGCCAACAAAAAGTGGAGGAATGTTGTAAATAAGGGATTTTATAAACGGTTTTCAAATATTCAATTACAACCTTATTCCGGTTGATTGACTGGTGACGTCACAGGCACTACACATACTATATACATTATCTATACAATATATCACTGTCTGTACAATATATCACTATCTGTATAATATATCACTGTCTATACATACCACCCGTTGTAAAGTGCATATAGTAACCTTTGGCTACACGTACCGAAGTGTTTCCTTGTCCATCTTATGTGCCCTTTAAGTATTTAAATCCATTATTGTTTATTTATGTAAATGTCTCTGGTGATAATCCTGTATAGTATATGTTTTGATGTCAACACTTGAGCTTATCCATTTATAGTTAGAATATAACCAGCGGCTGCCAGGCAGGATATGCCAACATTTCGCAAGAGATAGATGAAAATCAGATGAAAATTGTGTCCTCTATAGGGTCCACAACTAAAAACATGATTTTTCAAACATAATTCATGAAGTTATTGTCCGATATATGCCAATATCGAAAGGAACTGAGATCTTTGGGAGACCTATATTTTAAGTTTCATCAAAATTGGATAAAGATACGCCAGG